ATGTCATATTGCTTCAGTCTGATAAAATTTAATTTTACAATGTTCTGTAATATTTATAATTGTATCTACTTTTTTCAGTATCTACATCAATATTTTTGCATATTAACTATTATATAATATATATGCATGCATACATGTAGTAAGTACTTAAGCATATTCAATAATCTAGTAAGCATGTGAGAACCTAACTTATACTAACTGGACAATTTTAACACGGCGAACATTAGTGTTTATATTTTTATATTATATTTTTACTCTGTCCTGGATATAGAGTTCGACCTAGATTTTATTCTGGTAATATATATATATATATATATATATATATATATATATATATATATATATATATATATATATATATATATAATAAAGATTATAAATATTTACCCTACAACAGGGGGCATCCTTTGTTATAGACAGAGAACGAAACAGAAAAATTTAAACGTTTCATTACTGTTTATGAGATAAAGGTTTTTTTTCTGATCTGACTTTTTTGTTTCAATGTTTTCAGTCAGTAAACTTCAGAAATAATAAAAAGAAATACAAGTATGTTTTCCTTAAGAGGTTCTCATTCCAAGTAGAAGTAATTAATTATTTTTCCTGTATGAAATGTTAATCACCAAATTACCTTAATTATGTAAAGTTTCCTTTTTGTACTTCGCACTGTGAGTACATATTCTCTGCAAGTCATTTCACTTTCTCTAGTCCATCCTAATTAGACTCTGGAAAATCCTATGGTTCTAAGTTTGACCTATGCATGTATCCATCATTCTACAAGTGAGAAACATACACAAACATACAAAATAGATAGGTTGATCATTTGTAAGAAAAATGCCATATTTAATTAGAAAGCTAAAATTCTCGACTAAACAAAGAAAATCTTATATCTCGCTTAAACATCTTAAAACATGTTGCTATAATAATTCTATCTATGATTAGTTACTCTTGTTAAACTTTTATCATGCCTAATTCATATATTAAACCCAATAATAGGTATGTTCTGTAGTCAGATTAAACAGTGTGTGTATGTATATGTATATACTGTTTAATATTTATATATATATATATATATATATATATATATATATATATTTTATATATATATATATATATATATATATATATATATAGAGAGAGAGAGAGATATTACATTATTGGCCATGTTATGCTCATAATTTTAACATATCCACAACTCTTTCGGCCGTTGTACGCTCTTGGAATATCGATTCGAACCCTTTATTTCGCCCATCGAGGTAGATTGTTCTACTTCCACGGACCAGTTATTTCCCTTTACCACAATTTCCCAAGTTTGGATTACCAATGCTGGTATTGAACTCACAACTCTAGTCACTGCATCTAACCAACGTCTTTATCCACGGGTCCATGTTTCGCTGAGGACATCTGCGTATGATTTTTTTTTATTTATAAATCTCATCCCTGAGCCTCATTTTTTTTTACCACTGCTCATATTGCAATTTTTCTGTTATATTATATTATTATTACCTTATACAGTAATTTTTGTTTTTGTTCATGGCTTTTATCTGCTACTCTTTATTATTGGCATCCATATTTTATCTATTTCTCTGCTTGGTTGGCTCAGGATATTTTTGTGGTCTTAAGAAATCAGCACCTATGCTAGGTCTAAATAATGTAAGTAATCATAATAACTCATCTCATATATATATATATATATATATATATATATATATATATATATATATATATATATATGTGTGTGTGTGTGTGTGTGTGTGTGTGTTTGTGTGTGTGTGTGTGTGTGTGTGTGTGTGTGTGTGTGTGTGTGTGTGTGTGTGTGTGTGTGTGTGTAAACAGATAAAACCGCCTCTTCTTCCGTTTTTTTTTCGGCCAATATCTAACCAGAAGAATCGTTGGCGAATAAAGGTTACCTTGGTTGGATTTCACAGGAAGTGATTTCTTGATATCATCCATCTGGTGGGGAGGGATTTCAATATGAGGCACCACTGAGAAATGTCTCAAAACCATGGTGCGGTTTGACTCATGCATCATGAGAATTGGTTAAAACAAACTTTACAACTCGTCTGACGTGATAGCAGTTTCAAGTGTTACAAGTTATCATGACCGAGACTTTGATATTTGTTCAAATTTCTGATCGCTAGTCTGTGTGCTCTCAGAAAATGTAACCATAAATAAAGGTCGTAATATTTGCAGCATAAACCACATATTGGCTAAGTAGGTATTAAAGAAACGGTCATGTGTCTAAGCAGGTGTTTGCAAAAGAGGATTAGTTGACATATATGCACACATACACACAATGTATCATCGGATATTTCTGCACAGTACTTGATTTGAACTTAATGACATGTTTATAATACGACAGAGATTGTTTATTTTAGGTTTGCAAACATATGACTGGAGAAAGAAATCGGCCCAGCGTTTTGGTCCAGACCGTTTGAGAAAATGCCTTGTGACTTTAGTTGACGATGATTGATAGTAATGAAAATAAGTCATCATCCCGCCAGATCAGTTCTACAGTCAAAACTAAGAGGAGTTTTTTTTTTCTTTTTTTGTATCGTTATAGCCGAAACTGATGGCAGTCTAATCAATACAAAGAACATACACTTATAAACACACACACAAAGACACACACACACACACAAAGACACACACACACACACAAATACAAAACCGCAAACAAAGATACACAAACGCACATACAAAAACAGACGGCAAAACAAAAGCTCACACACAGACATGAATATGTATATTTGTATCTGTGTTCAAGTGTGGACGAACTTCTGTTGAGCAGTTTTATTAGCATTATTATATCATAATTTTTACTATTATCATTTCATACATGTGTGTGTGTGCGTGTGTGCATGTATGGGCATGTAACTTGTATAGAGCACAGATTATATATATATATATACATATATATATACATACATATATATATATATATATATATATATATATATATATATATATATATATATATATATATATATATATATATATATATATAAATTAGTTTTTTATATTTCGATATTGTCCTCGTATTTGTTATTATTATCACAAGGTTTAATGAATCATATGCGCGGATGAATATAAATAGGGTAAATAATGATAACTCAGGAATTTAGACAGAATATATATATATATATATATATATATATATATATATATATATATATATATATATATATATATATATATGTATGTATGTATATATTAGGTACAATTTGAAGAATATTCAGTATTGATGATAGAGGATTTATAGCTACTGACAGCGTGAATATAGGAATTAGAATGGCATGTGTACTGTCAGTTTCACGCCAGCGATAGGTCCAAGCAAGAGATGTACATATGTTAAATAGGTAACTAAAACTAACTTTATCATAACGGTTTATAGTAACTTAACTGATAAGTCGCAGTTGGTTTAAATTGGTCTCCTGATGGAAAAAGAAATTTCAGGTTCATTTACTGCCCGGTGATTGGGTTGCCTCATGATTGCGTCTAGCATGAAACAGCCTGTTGTTTCTGAGTGTTGACTTCAATGTTCACTTTTATATTTACATACGCTCTATCTCAGATATTGAGCACTTTATTAGATTGGATTTCTCTGTATCCTTGGAAACAAAAATTATGAATGTATATGCTATTAAAACTCAGTAAATTTCAAAATAAGTGATTCCAAAATTCGCTTCAATTTGAAACAAAACTAATGCTTGGACTTGTGCCACATACATCCCTGGTGGTGGTGGGGAGGGGCTGTTAAATATTAATAGAACTAATGCTTTTGATTTAATTATATAACTGAATTTGAAGTTTCTTTTTTTGAAAAATGTAATTCCTGTGTAGCGATGAAACCAGATTTTGAAATCAGTTAATTTATAATATTTATGTTCAGTAAATTTACATTTAACACTGTTTTGTAAAAATAAGAATATCAATAAGAACTCCGGATTATATATCTTACTGTTCTTTCTTTTTTCACTAATTTTATATATATATATATATATATATATATATATATATACATATATATATATATATATATATATATATATATATATATATATATATATATATATATATATTCGCCTGTTCTTGTCTGCATGAATATTCATTATATTATGAATACTTATATGCAAACTTATATATATATATATATATATATATATATATATATATATATTGATTGTACACTGGTCTCCATATCTAGTTTTCTTTGCCATTCTCTTCGCCATTTTTACTATTTAATAAAAAGTAATTCTCTCATGTAAACTTGCTCACGTACGCAACAGAATCCAATAATTGCGATATTCTAAAAGATTTCCTGAAGAGGACAAATATACATGCCGTAGATTTTTTTTTCTTTTTCTACTTCTTTTTCTTTTATCTCCTCAAAAAATTTCAATGAATATTTTCTAAAGTTAATTTTCTTAGCTCTTACTTAATTTTGATTCTGGTATATTTCTTTTTTTAATTTGTCTTTTTATTTTTTTTTACATATGTCTTTTTGTTTTTCTTCGTACACGCTCCTTCCTCTTCCGCCGTTGATTCTGTTTGTTTGTTTTACTATTTTCGATTCTCCTCGTATTTCCGATCGATTTATTCGATAAATATACACCCACCCACCAAACAAAAAAAAAAAAAATTAAAAAAAAAAAGAAAAAGAAAACTATATCAACGGGAAATGTAAGTAAAAATCTCACGTTATTACTGATAAAGAAACACAAATACAAAATGCGATAATTTTGGTAGCTATATTCTCAGTGAGTCAAAGAGACGTTCATTTTTACTTAACAGTATTTAAGCCATATAAAATACATTTATAGTGGAAAATGCCAATGTATAGCCATCTTTAAAATAAAGTTATTTAATCTTATCACCTTCTCTACATCTCCTCCTCCCTCCGCCTCTGTCCCTCCTCCTCTGTCCCTCACGCCCCGTCTGTCCCTCACCCCCGTCTGTCCCCCCCCCTCTGTCCCTCACTCCCCTCCCCTCTGCCCCCTAAGTCCCTCACTCCTCCTCTTTCCCTTCCCACTGTCCCCATCTTTCCCTCTCCCCCTTTTCCTTACTCCCCCTTTCCCTCTCTTCCCTCTGTCCTGATCTCCCCTATGTCCCTCACTCATCCCTCTGTCCCTCACTCCCCATCTGTCTCACACTCCCCCTCTTTCCCTCTCTCCCCCCTCTGTTCCGATCTCCCCCTATGTCTCTCACTCATCCCTCTGTCCCTCACTCATCCCTCTGTCCCTCACTCCCATCTGTCCCTCACTCACCCCCCTCTGTCCCTCACTCACCCTCTGTTTCTCTCCCCTCCCCCTCTGTCCCCTCCCCTCCCCTGATATGTCCCTCTCTCCCCCCTCTGCCCCTCTGTCCCTCCCTCCCCCCTCTGTCCCCTGTCCCCTCTGTCCCCCCTGTCCCCCCCTCTGTCCTCCTCCCCCTCTGTCCCTCTATCCCCCTCTGTCCCTCTATCCCCCACTGTCCCTCTCCCCCTGTATGTCCCCCTCTGTCCCTTCTCTGCTCCCTCCTCTCTCCCCCCGTGCCTCCTATTCCCTCTGTCCCTCTATTCCCTCTGTCCCTCTATCCCCCCTCTGTCCCTCTCTCCCCTCTGTCCCTCACTCCCCCTCTGTTCCTCTCTCCCCACTCTGTCCCTCACTCCATTTACTTTATTTTCCTTCAAGTTACTCAGTTCCTATTTATTCAGCGTTAAAAATTGCAAAGCATAATTGCGTTTAACATCATATACAATGGCATAATGTGTTCTCTTTCAAGTTGTGCAAAACAGAGGCATAATCAAAGAATTGTGCTTGCTTCTAGGAAAGTTTGTTCAATGATTCCTACTAGACAATTCTTTTTATCAGAGTCATTCTTGTCCCTTTTTATATGTCAACTGTTTGTCCTTGCATTGAATATTTCTGCTACATCTGGCCCTGACCTTGAATTCCCACTTCAATTACATTTCCATCACGGTAACGTAGATTCCCCGTGACTCTTCTATAAATAATGACATGGTAATTGTTCTGATGTGCTTTTTCTGTTTATCTTCTGATACCTCATTAATAAGAGCACCCTACTTGATTGGCAGTTAGGTTTCATCATTTTTCTATTGAAATGTAAGTTCAATGTTGAGAGTTTCCTTTCTCGCACCTCTCACTCATGCAACTTTTTCCTGCTTCTTGCCTTCCTGTCCAATACGATTTTCAGTATTTGAATTGCAACGTCAATCGTCATAATCTATCTATTTGAATTCTGTTCTTTTATTGTCCTCACTCGCACGCTCTCTCGTTTCAATGACGTTCTGTCAGATTCTTTCACTGTCGTTTTGAGACTGTGCTATTTTTTAGCATTGCTTGAGATGAAATGATTAAAAGAAGGTGATAGATGAAACATTCGTTGTTCGTTTAGCAGCAGTAAATGCCGTGAATTGTATGTGACGTTGTAGAAAGCAGAATCTCAAAATGCCGGACGACTCAGCCGATCAGAAGAATTTGAAAGTGACAATCGAATCTCTTTTGAAAGATGACTTCATTTAGTTCAAATTGAAATTGAAAAATTTTGTAGGGATCACTCAGTATTCATAAAATACCAGCAAAAAAGTGGAATCCTTCAAAAAGCATTCCACAGGAATTGTCATGACAAATCCTTGGAATGTTTTTGTCTTGTTTTGTGGTAGATAGTCACTGTAAATGGGAAAAGTTTTCACTGTACACTTTTTAGATTATTCGGACTATTGTCCTCATCATTGATGCCATATTTATCACAACGTTTCGGCCGTTGTACGCTTCAGCTTTCACTGGCCATAACTAACGCCTTCATCCAGTGACAGGTCCCAAAACGTGTGAGTTCAATACCTGGTTAAGGCGGTGGAGAACATGGAGAGGAGAATTAACAGGAGATAACGGATATATGATATCCATTAGACACGGTACGTGGAATTAGAACAGTCTACCCCAGCGAACGAAATAAAGGGTTCAGTTCGACATTCCAAACACCTGAAGAAGGCTGGAGCGTACAACGGCCGAAATATTGTGATAAATATGACAACAAAGTTGAGGACAAAAGTCCCAATAATGTAAACAGTGTATGTAATAACTCATCTCAAAAATATAGAGAGTGTTCACTATAATAATCCTGAAATGTATTAATGTAAATATTAGGAATCGCTGAACACTGATGAAACACCTACTGCGAATCATTACAGACTTCTCCTCTGAAGTGTGGATGTAGCATATAAAATCAGTCATTTACTGGGCATGCGAGTGGGAAAGTTGTACGGCTGCATTAAAATGCCCGTATGTACGTAGCTTTATTTACCTTATTTCATAATGTAGTTGGATTTCGGTATTCTTTTTTGCGAGGCATATCCAGCAGACAGAAATCTACAACCATTATGATGTATTTAAATTAATTTGACCAAACATTTAAAGAAGATCACCGTTCACAATATCTCTAATTTATTATGTCGAAGTTAGAATTAATAAAACACAGAATCATCAGACAAAATCATTAAATATATTTTGATGATTAATAAATATATTTATAGGTTGTGTTCTACGTGATATTGTTGTGGAATCATACGAAACGTGTTCAAATTCGGAACTTCTCTGTTTACTAAAGCCCTTCGAAAAAAACAAAAAGCATTCGTTTTTTTTTTTCAGTTAAGCAGGGAAATTTTTTATGGAAGCAAGTAACGTAAAAATGAAAACGTTGAGGTCTAAACAACGTAAAATTCAAAGTCATTTTCACCTCTTTCCCCATATATTCTGACAATCCAGATATAATAGAATAAATGAACATGGGTAGAGCCATTATCGTCCCCAACGCATGAAGGAAAAGGATAATGAAAAAGATACTAATTATTTGTAAATACCTAATTTGAAAAAAATATACACATAAACAGGTACAAAGCTAGATTTTTACAGCCTGAAATATTTGTGTGAATGGCAAAATGTTTTCCTAATCTTGCATAGAAGCCTTTTTAAATATAATTCATAAATGACGTTCCTTTTATAAATTTCTTCCCCCTTCCTAAAATGTCTCTAGCCAATGTAAATGCTGAAGTGGTTTTAAATTTCGCAGAGATCAAATAACACGGAACTGCTGCAAAAAGGAGCTTTTTCCTATATATCAAATACGTAATGGAATATATTTATTAAACTGTCATCGAAGCAATATTTTTCCTATTGATATCCAGTAGTATTGCCTTCCTGTGTGACATAGGTGGTCATTTTCACAAGATTTGATGGTAATTTTCCTCATAGATCGAAAGAAAGTTCTGCAAAAGCAGTGCCATTAACTGAACGGCTGTTTCTTGGAGTTGCCATTTCATGGCCGGATGTTCAGTTGATGATTATAGAAGACGGGTTTTTGCTGCAGTTTTGAAAATTATCATCTCTCCTTTTCTTTCTATTTTTAAAAATCCCTGATAATATGATAATATTGAGAGAATTTCTTTTACGATTGACGACAATGAATTGATGCATATTATTTGAGTTGACCCACCGGAAACAAATCAACGGGCTGCAGAAATACTTCAAGTTTGGGAAATTGTAACAAAATGTCAAAAAAATCGACAAATATGTGGTGAACAATCCGAATAAAAATGGAAGTGAAAATTACAAATTCTGTTCTGTGCTTCATTTTTGCAACAAAAAAAAACAAAACATTTTATTTGTACTCGCATAGCGGAGAGCTACAATCGCATAATTCCTTAGGGTACACGCTGCAGAAAATTTGTATTAATAGTAATATTATTAAATGCATTATTTTTTTTAAGATAACATGGAGGTATTGCTATACGACATACAGGGGTTGGACAAAATAATTGGAACACTTGTTAAATTTAAAGAAAATTTATTTAATATGGATTTGTTCCTACTTTAGCCTCACAGATAGCTTTAATACGTCTAGGGATGGAATCATACAGCTTCCTGACTTCATCCAGAGGAATGTTCCGTCATTCTTCCATTAAAACCTTCTCCAGCTCTTTACGACACGACAGTGATGGATAGCGGCTCCAAACTTGTTGCTCCAAAATGCACCACAAATTTACAATAATACTTATATCTTGAGATATGGGGAGGCCACTCCATGTGTTCTAGCTTTTCATACCAATTCTTAACCACTCGAGCGGTATGTATTGGAGAATTATCGTCTTGGAAGATGCAGTCACCATCTTGGTCATTGGATGAACATGATCTCCCAAATTGTTCAGGTAATCTTTGCTGTTGATTCTACCATGCAGGGAAACTATTGGACTGAAACATTTCCATGATATGGCGGCCCAAACTATCACTGTTCCACCTCCATGCTTCACTGGTGGAAGAAGACAGTCAGGGTTGTAAGCAACTTTGGGTTGCCTCCACACATAAACTCGCCCTGAAGTTGGGAAAAGAGAAAAACTGGACTTGTTTGAGAATATGACTTGCTTCTATTGGTCTGCAGACCAGGCATTGTGATCTCTGAACCACTTCAACCTCTTTTGAATGTTGCGAGTGGAGAGAAGAGGTTTCCTCACAGCGGCTCTTCCATGATATGCAGCCTTATGGAGCTCACGGGGAACAGTTTTAGTAGAAACTGAACTATTCAGATGGTTATTCAACTCAGCAGTCACTTTGGCCGCAATTTGTCCGATGATTTTTTGCCACATTGCGTTTCAAATTCCCTGTCAGTAAGTTGGCAAGTTCGGCCCGAATTGCTCCGGTTGTTAGAGGTCTTGCTCTGTTTCTCGAATTGCATCAGTGTTCTTGATATGGTAGCTCTTGAAAAACCAAACAGTTCAGCAACCTTAGTGATTAAGGCTCCTGCCATGCGGGTTCCAACAATTTGCTCTTTTTCGAAATCGGAGTGGTCACGCATTTAGCTTACATTTTACTAAATTCTATAAATAAATAAGACAACGACAGTAAATTAGATAAATAAACGTATTTACAATAGATATTACCTGCAATTACGACGTTTTAGTTAAAGTTCTTAATATAATAGGTCTTTGAAATATAGAAGTGGATTTTGCAACTGTTCCAATTATTTTATCCAACCCCCTGTATAATCCTCCCGTAAGACGTTTCACTCATCTAATGCTTTCTAAGTATATCATGAACCGAGCGTGTGAGCAACAATGGGGTTTTCGAGATGATGCAAACAAGGAGAAAGCTTATACTTAACATCATGAAGAAGCAGCTGAAATTTCTGGGACACGTAAGGAGAATGGAGGGCTCGGAGAATCTGATACTCACAAGTCAAATACAGGGAAAGAGGAACAAGGGAAAGCAACGCATGACCCCTAGCGGGCTTAAGCAAGTGGATGACAGAACACGGCCTGTTGGAAGTAGCAAAGAGACAAAACTTATTGAGAGAGGGGAAAAGTGGAGAGGGAGAAGTAGAGAGTCATGATCGCCTTCGTCCTGAAGGGACACGGCTCATTAGAAGGAAAAAGTTGAACGCCGATGAATGTAAATTGTTAATTATTATGATACAAATCGAGTAAAAGAAATAATGATATAAATTAACTATTTTTCATGACAGTTACTCTAATGTGCTCTACTCCTAAGTAAGTCGGCAACATAAATTTAAGTGCACTACTAAATTGGTAACTAGGTCTCAATGTTTTACTCTTGAAATAGGTAGATGTAACTGTATGTTTTATTCTGATATTTCTTTTGTCGCAATTCTTAAGTGTGGAACTTCCTACTACTTTCTGGTTTCACTGCC